ATACGTGCGTGGTCAACTAAGATACCAAAGTTAATAAGTTATATATAATAATATCAAAATTAAACACGTTACAAACCCATAACAAAAATTAAATTTATTTTTATTTTTAGAATTTGACTAATTACTCAAATATTGCAATAATAAAATATAATTAAAATGTTAAAAAAAAAAATTAAAAAATTAAAAAATTAAAATTTTTGGAGCAGTGGTATCGGGGATGGAGAGGTTCGTGTTCAAAGGGGTGGCGTCAAACCTGGTGACGTATCTAACGGACGTGATGAAGATGAGCAACTCGTCGGCGGCGAAGACCGTCAGCAGCTGGTGCGGTTTCACTTCCATGCTGCCGCTTCTGGTGGCGCCGCTTGCTGATTCTTATTGGGATCGCTATTCCACCATTTTAGCTTTTGGTTTTCTTTACGTTCTGGTAATAATCACTCAACTTTTCTCTCTTTCTTTTGGGTTTGGATGATGAGTCAGTAATCACCATGGAAATGGATGATGAGTCATATTATCCCGTATCATTTCGTTAATATCTTAATTAATTGTGTTTACAGCGTTGACATTTTAAGTAAGCGAGAAAATTAGTGGGTGAAGAGTTAAAATGAAAAATAAAATGAATTATTGAATGAAACCGGTACAATAAGATATCTACCTCCTAATAACTTTTGTTTGATGTGGGATTCTGATTTATATGTTCATTGCAGCTCTTTTCGAATTATTGGGTCAAAAAAGTTGATCTTACTTGTAAGAAACTCTTGTAGGAGTGGTGTTGTGTCCAACCTTGTAAAAAAAAAGTGTATAGCTAAGTTAGGGTAGTCTGGATTCTTCCTCACAGTTCGGTTTATGAATTGATTTGTCAGGACCTCATGTGAAGTTAGTGGAAAGTAAAGTAAGAAGGGTTCGACCGAGTTCGAATCTAGCTCGATACATAAATTACATTTCGAGACGGAATCGTATGGAATTTAAGGTTTTGGTTATTATTAGTGTGACCATTTAGGATAGGATAGGCCATAGGGGATGAAATGTTTGAGCAAAAGTGAATCAATGATTTGGTCCAATTATATCAACTTTTCTCTTTTTACAAAAATAAGAGCTTTGCCTTTTTTCTTCCTTTTTCCTTGCCTTTAATTTTAGCCATTGAAATGGGTAACTTTTTTATGGAGTTTTCTATCTTTATTTTATTTTATTTTATTTTCTTGTTATTAAATTTTATTAGAATTTGAACAGGGTCTGGTCGCTTTAGCATCAACCACATTAGCAAGAACATGGTCACCAACAAACATGGCCTCCTCCTTTCTGTTCTGGTCCCTCTACCTCATCTCCCTCGGCCAGAGTGGATACAACTCTTCTCTTCAAGCTTTCGGCACCGATCAACTCGACCATGATGACACTGAACTCACAACCACCATAGGGAAGACATCGTCATCCTCCGACGAAAAGTCGAAGAAGAAGAGCTCGTTCTTCCAATGGTGGTACTTTGGAGTATGCAGTGGCAGCCTCCTTGGTGTCACAGTAATGTCCTATATTCAAGACAACTTTGGTTGGGTCCTTGGGTTTGCCATCCCCATGTGTGCCATGGTTTCTTCTGTCTCTCTATTTTCTTGTGGCACGAGGATTTATCGCTATAAGAGAGATGACGATGAAGATCAAGCCGAGAAGAGACGGTTTGTGAAGGTGGTGGAAGTGGTCAAAGCCACAGCTTCTAGACTCATGTGTTGCAGAAATGTCGTCGCCTTTTCCGGTGAAAACTCTGATGATGACGATGTTGAGTTAGAGTAAGAATCAAACCACTCGAATCAAAATTAAAACTTTTAAACTGAGAAGCTGATTATATGTGATTTTGCAGGCTGCAAGAGAGCAAGCCACTTTGCCATGAAAGCTCAGGAGCCATGAAAATCATGGATGACAAGAACATGATTCAAAGAGAAAGATTGTGTGTGCCGGACAAGGTGAAAATGGTACTGCGGCTGTTACCAATTTGGACAATGCTTCTGATGTTCGCTGTAATCTTCCAACAACCAGCTACCTTCTTCACCAAGCAAGGCATGACAATGGAGCGGAACATCGGCGCCAACTTCAAGATTCCGCCCGCCACCCTCCAGAGCGCCATCACCATCTCCATAATCCTCCTCATGCCGTTATACGACAAAGTTTTGATCCCGATCACCCGCCTGTTTACCGGTGCTGAGAAGGGCATCACTGTGATGCAGAGGATGGGCATTGGAATGTTTCTCTCCACCATCGCCATGATACTCGCCGCCCTTGTTGAAGCCAAGAGGTTAACAATGACAAAAACAGCGTCGTCGTCGTCGTCTGTGTCGCTTAGTATCTTCTGGCTCCTGCCTCAGTACATAATATTGGGAATTTCAGACATCTTCACAGTGGTGGGGATGCAAGAGTTTTTCTACTCGGAGGTTCCAGTAAGCATGAGAACGACAGCATTTGCGCTGTACAACAGCGTGTTCGGTGTGGGGAGCTTTTGCAGTGCGATATTGATATCGATCGTGGAGTTAATGACGAGTATGGAGGGGAGGCCAAGCTGGTTCTCCGACAACACGAGGGAAGCTAGATTGGACAAGTATTATTGGCTGTTGGCATTTTGCAGTGGGTTGAGCTTTGTATTGTATGTGATTTGGTGTAAATGTTGCAGAAACAGTAGGATCAATGAAGAAGAAACACAATATTGAATTCGAATCAAGCTTTGTGAGTGATGGATTTTGTAAATATTTTCTGTGGAATGGGGTTGTAATGGGTCTTTTATGTAACTGTTTGTTAAATAGGTAGAAATGAGAAAGATTAGAGTTCGAGTACTTCAAATGTTTTTCGATTTTAAAACGCGTCTAACAAGGAAAGGTTTCCACACCTTTGTAAGAAATGTTTCATTCCCCTTTCCAACTGATGTGGGTTCTCTCAATTCACTCCGTTGGAGACCTAGTGTCCTCGTTGGCACACCACACGGTGGCTAGCTCTGATACCACTATAATAGCTCAAGCTCATCGCTAGCAAATATTGTCCACTTTAACCTGTTATACCGTCAATCTCACGGTTTTAAAACGCGTCTAATAGTGAGAGGTTTCCATACTTTTATAAATAATGCTTTGTTTTCCTCTCCAACCGATTTAGGATCGCAATAATAAGACTACATGTCTATTTGCTACTGTTGAATCAATCTGGGAAGGAAAAACCTTCCAATTATAAATCTTCTGTGAGATGGCAACGATTTTTCTGTTTTTGCCCGGACACTCCCTTTTCAGAAAAAAAGAAGGTTGCTTTAGATCAAATTATATGTTCGACATGTTCAAGCTTTTCCTCACTTCTACAAAGAGGGACGATGTTTATGTCTCCAACAATATATACACCAAACCCCATCGAATCACTCGTTCTCTTCGTTTCTTTCTTTCATGCCAACTCCCAGTCGCCATACCCTAGTCCTGATACTAACAGCAAACCAACAAATCTTGCATAGGTTTTTTGATTTCTTGAATCACTAAGATGAGCTATTGAACTCTAACCAAAAGAGAACCTAAGACTCTGCACCCAATCGTCCATCGCACCGACTAACCGATCGATCTCACCGAAAACATCAACTTTGCTGTTTCTTCTCGTCCTCTTATCTTTTCCCCCAACATCTCTACTTCAACATTAAAACACAAAGCAACCTATTTTATTCAAATGTATTGTCTACCTAGATCCCATGAACCAAAAATTTGGGTGAGTCTTCCAAACATTGAAAAAAACTTTAGTAGCACAACAACATTCATGTTTTCGATCTTATAGTTCCTGTCGGAGGATATTCGAGGCGTCCAACATCTATGGTCATTTCCAAGTCCCACCGTTTGTAGCCTTGGATCCTATTATCTACTTTTTCCCGGAACGAAAAATGTAATGGCCTAAGCCCACTGCTAGCAGATATTGTCCTCTTTGAGCTTTCCCTTCTGGGCATCCCCTCAAGATTTTAAAACGCGTCTACTAGGGAGAGGTTTCCACACCCTTGTCAAAAATGCTTCGTTCTCCTCCTCAATCGATGTTGGATCTCACAATCCACTCCCTTTAGAGCCTAGCGTCCTCACTGGCACTTGTTCCGTTCTCCAATCAATGTGGGACCCCCCAGTCCATCCCCCTTCGGGGCCCAGCATTCTTACTAGCACACCACCTCAAGTCTACCCCCTTCAGGACTCAACCTCCCCGCTGGCACATCGCCCAATGTCTAGCTGTGATACCATTTGTAACAGCCTCAAGCCCAAGCCTACTGCTAGCAGATATTGTCCTCTTTAAACTTTCCTTCCGGGCTTCCTCTCAAGGTTTTAAAACGCGTCTGTTAAGGAGAGGTATCCACACCCCGATATGGGATCCCACCAAAAAATAGAAACAGACAGATCATCAGAATGACCCAGGTCTAAGGATTAGAAGAAACCAATGATTTGTAACACTAAATGAGGCCTTTTTTTCTTTGCCCGAAGAGACCAGACCCTATGGTGTGAGACATTTGCCTCACTTCAATGAAAAATAAACAATAAAGAAATCACAAAAATATACTAATAGCAATGTTTTCTAGTCCTCGGTGTGGAAGGTTTGGAGGACTGCAATTCATGATGTACTAGAATTACATGAAAGAACTTATGTACTCTTAAATCTTCTAACCATACATGAGACATAAATACTCCAAGCACCATCCTCATAGAGGCACGAGTTTCATCTAGAAGAGATGTAAACGCTCCTATGATCCAAACAGACATAAGCTTCTAGGCTAAAGAATTGAGCGGCCAAGTCTCAGGACCTTTTTACAACATTCAAAGGAACAAGAAAACTAAATGAATGAACACACCACCAAAAAAGCTCAACAAGATCAGCAAAGCTTCTTTCTATTTTTTGGTCAAGATAAAACAGAAACCAAATCAGTACCAATCCATTTGATACAAGTTAATCACAACATCATCGGTCTAAACTAACCATACTCATACAGTTTATAAACCAAAATTTACATTCCAGTGGAATTTACCTCATTGATGAGCATCATGAGATTCATGACCATTCACACCCACATCGACTACTGCTTGCTTTGTCTTCCCCAAACTACTCTCTTCACCAAGATCATCATCAGAATCCAAAGTGAACTGACCCTGAAACCCAAATGGCTGCATCTCTGCCCCGACCGGGCGGTACTGCAAAAAATCACTGCCGCCTCCATTTCTGTAAGTGATGATTGAATATACACCAATCACCAAAGCCACTAGAAGGGCAAGATGGCAATTGAACTGAAGCGTAGCAATAGCTCTGGCTCTGTGATATTCAGAGTGCCCCTTGCATTTTATAGTGTAATTTCCTCTGCTCTTTTGGTGCAAAGAGCACCCATCAGCAATCAAAGTGGTGAAAAAAGACAACCCCATTTGTAAGAACCATGTCCCCTGCAGAATCAGCCCAACCCCACGAACAATTTTGGGAGAATTCAATTTGGGGGATTTCAATTCGAACATTGTAGAGATAACACAAACTGTAATGGGAACAAGCAAGAGATCAAAATACCGATTCTCGATTCCACTGGTGTCTTTCCTCTGCAGGTAGAACAACAAAAACTCTTCCACAAAAGCGAATAGCGCAATTAAACTAAGGATTAATGATGGAAGATGAAGTGAATCCTTGAGATTAACCAAAAAACCAAGAATCGAATAAAGCAAGAAAAGAGAAGCAATGGCCAGATTTGGTAACTGGAGGGTGGAGCCGACTCGATCGCTCGAGTTCACCGCATCAAAAAATGAAACGAGGGAGTTTAATATGACAAGAAATGAGAGAATGAAGACGAAGATGAAAGAGAGAGACGATGAAGATGAGGGGTTTTTGGCGGTTGACGGCGGAAATCGAGATGGGGTTTGGGCGGCATCGAGAGAGGAAGATGCGTTTGGATTTGAATTGGCAATGGAATTCAAGGAAGAGAGTACCTCCCACGCTCCGATCAGAAAGAAACCCCCGCCGGTGACGGACAGGGTGAAGAACCCCATACTTGGATCTCGCCGGCGCTCTGCTCTCGATATGAATCTGCTGAAATGTGGAGAGTCCTTGGACTGATCTTTTCTTCGTTATTTCCAGTCGGTTTGAGCTTTGACTTTGGATTTTTTGTCAAAATTAAAAAATAATAATAATCATAATAATAAATTATGAGAGCCATCAGGCACGAATCACGTGTCGGATAAATTGTTATTTCCCTCTCTTCACCGGGAACCAGAGGAGCTCCGTCGTCTTCGTCTTCGTCTTCGTTTTCGTTTTCTTCATTGTTCAATGAAATGTTCATCTTGCAAACTCACTATTCCTTCACTCTTAAACCGCTGACAGACCAGTTCCCTCCGCCCTTCACCTTCTTCCCATCTCAGCGCCATCCCACCCTCATCTCCCATCCTCCAAAATCCAACCGCTTCCTCCTCCGCTGCTCCGCCGTCGATTCCGACGCCCTCCCCAAATCCGCTATTCAAAGAATTGCCGACAAGCTTCGAAGCCTTGGCTTCACTGAGCAACCGCCCGAACCAGTATCGGACCCTAATGCACCCTCTACGCCTGGAGAAATCTTCGTTCCGTTGCCCAATCAACTGCCCAAGTACCGGGTTGGGCACACCATTGATTCCAGCTGGAGCACGCCTGAGAATCCGGTTCCGGAACCGGGAACGGGAACTGCGATTAAGAGGTTTCATATAATTAGAAATGAGGTGGAGAAGCGGAAGAGGGAGGATGGGGTGAAGCAGAGGAAGAGGGAGGAGAGAGCGCCGACTTTGGCGGAGCTGAGCTTGCCTGAGGAGGAGTTGAGGAGGCTTCAGGGAATTGGGATTAGGTTGAAGCGGAAGCTTAAGATTGGGAAGGCTGGGGTTACAGAGGGGATTGTTAACACTATACACGAGCAATGGAGGCGGTCCGAGGTTGTGAAGATAGTGTGTGAAGATCTTTGTAGGTTGAACATGAAGCGGACACATGATTTATTGGAGGTTTGGTTCTTGATTTCTGATTTTTAACTGCTCGAAATGATTGTTTCTATGATAATGTTATGATATCCTTCAAGTCATCTTTGTAGTTCCTTGTTTTGCCCGGCACAATCAATCTAATTCTGTCTTGTTCTCCACAATCTCAGAGAAAAACTGGAGGAATTGTTGTATGGAGATCTGGAAGTAAAATCATATTATATAGAGGGCCCAATTATGTATATCCTTACTTCTCTCATGAAATTTTGAAACATGATGCATCACATGGTGCTTTACTGGATTCACATAGTGATGATGATGGAGGGAACAGTGAAATAGAGAGCTCTTTATCTAGCATCAATGATGAAAAGTCTGCTGGACCAACTTCATCTGATAAAATGGCCGGTGGGACTCTCATTCAAGGTGTTGGTGCTCCAAACAAAGTGAGATTTGAACTGCCAGGTGAGGCAGAACTTGCAGAAGATGCTGAGAGTTTGTTAGAAGGACTAGGTCCACGTTTTTCGGATTGGTGGGGATATGACCCTCTACCTGTTGATGCGGATCTTCTTCCTGCCGTTGTTCCTGGATACCGTAAGCCATTCCGTCTTCTCCCATATGGAGTGAAGCCTAAGCTAACCAATGATGAAATGACCTCACTGAGGAGACTTTCTAGGCCTTTGCCATGCCATTTTGCATTGGGTGAGTTGCGTTGATACAAATTCTTTTTAGTACGGTCGGGATCGTGTCTTATATTTTCATCATTTTACAGGTCGTAATAGGAACCTTCAAGGGCTTGCTGCTTCCATTATCAGGCTGTGGGAAAAATGTGAGATAGCCAAAATTGCAGTGAAAAGAGGCGTACAGAACACAAACAGTGTGTTGATGGCTGAAGAGTTACAGGTTATTGATACGTCTCTCTCATGAAAAAAAAACCCGACCTTCATTGAGAGGTTATTGATAAATTTCAATTCTTACAAACAATATGCCTTACATCTTATGTCTGTTGAGTCTTGCTAACGCTTATGAAAACATCACAAGCTCCAGGAATAATGTCACGTAGTTTTTCAGTCCGTGTAAACAAAGAATACCAGGTAGCATGTCTGGTTAAATATGAAAAGAAATCTGTATGTTCTTCAGACTTAGGAATATAGTGTATGCCGACGGTTAGTTCTTGGAGCAATTTTATTATTTTATGCATCTTTTACATTCAGATTTTCTTCATGTGCTTATAAAATTAATATTGTCTTCACAGCTGCTAACTGGAGGAACTTTGCTTTCCCGAGACCGGGAATTCATCGTCTTCTATAGAGGAAAGGATTTCCTGCCATTTGCTGTTTCTTCTGCAATCGAACAGCAACGGTACATTCGATTACAAAAAATGAAACAGATGGATAATGCACTATCTACGGCCGTGCAGGAGAAGAAACTTGAGATAAATGAACGTGGTCCCACAAATGGAAATCAGAGCATCACGGAGTGGAAAAGGGTTGTCTCGGAACAGAGGAAGCTGATATCATCTGAGACATCTATGAGAAAAACTACAATCAAGTTGTCCATTGTATGTCTACATTGATAATGCTGCAGCTAAGTAGCTAACAACTTCTGGTTTCTGAATTACAACTTAATGTTACTACTGAACAGGCATTGGAAAAAAAAGCGAAAGCAGAGGAACTTTTAGCGAAGCTGGAGGAAGAAGAGATGCTTCGACAACCGGAAATAGATAAAGAGGGAATAACTGTGGAGGAAAGGTATATGCTGAAGAAGGTTGGCTTGAGAATGAAGCCTTTTCTACTACTTGGTCAGTGATGCAAATCTAGAACGGAGGTTTTCATTGGAAAGTTTCATTTCAAATTGATCTTTCTTGCAGAAATAAACTCATTGAGTTTTATATTTTCCATACACACAGGTAGAAGGGGCGTTTTTGATGGAACAGTTGAAAATATGCATCTTCACTGGAAGTATAGGGAACTTGTAAAAATAATTACTAACGAGAGAAGTTCTAAAACTGTTCATGATATTGCACGGACCTTAGAGGCAGAAAGTGGTGGAATTTTAGTTGCAGTTGAGAGAGTGAACAGGAGTTATGCTATCATTATATACCGTGGGAAGAATTACAAACGGCCTTCACGTTTAAGGCCTGAGACACTCTTGAATAAAAAAGAGGCATTGAAGCGATCTATAGAGGAACAACGTCGAAAGGTGAGCAAGATTATTCCATTTTCTTGCATGTGTATGTATCTGTTTCCCGTTCTTTTCATCTTTTCCTGTACCCCAAAGAATATAACCATATAAACAGAGAACTCGAAGGATATATTCATTTAAGTAAAGAACTCTCCATGAGATTACTAAGAAATTGGTTAAACTGATGCAACTATGGTAATATATGGTCAAGTATTGCTGTTCTTCAATGGAGTTATATTATGGCTAATTAGTCAATACAATGATGATTAAGGTTGATTGGATTCCAGTTAAAACTGATGCAACTAAAGAAAGGTCCTTTCTGTATATATGTATATGTTTTATTTTTTATCTCCCTGTCTTAAGAACCCTGACAATCAGGGTCATTTTTTTTATGAGCTGCTCAATTACTCACTAGAAGGATTGGGCTCTTCTTGGATCTCATTTTATACGGGTGTATTCCAAGCACTTCAAGGTGACAATCTTCTTCAGCCACGAGTTCATGAAAAATAGCTGAATTGCTATGGTCAGCATTGTCACTGCGCTTGTATTGAAAGATGTCGTACTTTTTTAGGACTATTTAAGATGTGAAAAAGATATCATGGATTTAGTGATCTTCCTTGTATCTAGATGAAAAGCAGTATATGAAGTTTTATATGAATTACAATTACTTAGGCTCTGATTCATGCGGTGCTTATGGAGGATGTCTTATTCTCCTTTTCTGTAATAATTTTTGTTGACTAACATAATTGTTTGTTATTCAAAAGAAACAACTTACTATTATCTCTCCTTCTGCTTCTTATTCTATTTGTTGCTGTGACATTGCAGTCATTGAAACTTCATGTTTTAAAGCTTACACAAAACGTTAAAGAATTGAAACTTCAATTGGTGAGCTGCATTCAAATTTGCATACTTTCTCTCTTTGGTTTTCTTTTTCCTTTCCTATTTTTCCTAGCAATTCTGGTTGAGTCCCATAACTCTCAGGATAAAGACAAGAAAGCAATTGGTATGGAGTCGATAAAGAAATCAACATTTCAGCAGGTGAGCCGTTTCTATACATTTTCATATACACGACTTGTCTTTCCCCCTAATAATAATTAGATTGGTAAATTACAGTTTTGATATGAATTAGGGAAAAGAAGGGACAAACGAGATACAAACAGCTGGAAGTTTGAAATTAGATACTGATCCTGCCTGCCTCTCTCATGCAGAAGATAATGCTTGTTTGGAGGAGAATGAAGTGGTAAGATTCATACCATGTAAATGTTCATAATATCTTCCGTTTATCTTGTGCTAGAGGGTACCTCTAGTAATGGCTTCTATTCTAAAAAATGAAAATTGAAGTATCCCTAGCCTTGAGGTAAATTAAACAAAAATTTTAATTCATTACGTATTGATGCGATTTGCATAAATGTAGGTTTCTACGTATGTTGATTCTGTGGTCTTTTGGTGAACCTGTGTTTGCTACTGTCTTAAGAAATATGCATGGGTTTATTCAGAAGTAGCTTACGAATTATCCCCTGGCATGATTGTATTAGGCCATGGTCAATGGGGATAATGCAGCTCATACGAATGGAACTGTCTGTTTGGAAACTTCAATAAACAGTCTACAAGCCACTCAAAGGGACAGTGATATCTTTTTAACATCTGATTGTGATCAGACTAATGCCGAACTGAAATCTTCGTCTGAATCGGTTAGGCAAGGAAACCACACAAAGGTGTCCATGGCTGAGAATGCTGCATTTGGAAGTATTGAACCTCTATCAGTCGCTAATTGTTTGGTATGTTGACAATTATTTCTATCAATTCGATTGTTTTTCTTGGTATAGTTGCTCACACAATATAGCGGCTAGAATTCCAGTCAGGAGAGAATAATT